ACAGAGGGGATAGAGAGTCACGAAGAACCGATGAGGAAAGTTGAGGAAATGGGTTTTAGCATGTTAATGCATCAATGGTAACCTCTTAAATCGGCGAATTGTTTTTGTTTTATACGTGCCAGACTGGGAAGGATGGGATAAATGTTAATTATGGAATTCACAGAAGACTTTAGATATCTCATTCACTGAAGAAATGACTGAGTAGTCATTTGATTACTGAACCAACTCAAACGCGATATGTTCTGACTTATTTCAAACACCAAGAATCAAGATATTCGAAAGCAGTGTGTTATCCTATTTGAGAAGATCGATACAACTAATCCAAAAGTCAGAATGACTTCTCGACTGGGACCGGGCTAGGAAGCATCTTCAAAACCCGTAGAGGATAGATTCACTCGACTATAGGAATGAGGATTTCCGTTAACTACGAGTTTTCCAGTTTCGATAGGGAGGGAAAGTTGGGAAGAACGAATGGTATGGGAACAGTAGCATACTTTTAATACCGAAGGTATGTATATACCTAGAACTACCGTAGCGGTCATTTTGACCTCTATATTAAGAGTCTTATAAAAACATTATTCTGTAAAATTTAATTTTTTAAAGTTGTTTATGCTCAACAGAACTAAATTGGAAGAAAAATAGTCTGTTCAAAATGTTTAATTTTAGGAATGTTGAAAAGGATATTTGGCAATGTATTTCTTAGAGTCTAGGTGTTTATGGAATCGATACAGGCATGATACATAAGTACATGTGCAGAACACTTGCCACACACGGCCTTCTTGCACAGGGCAGAGCTATCATGCATCTTGCTCCCATCATCATGATCATAATAACTTTTATAATAAATTAAGCCTACTTCATTTTTGTTTCTGGAATCAGCTTCAGATAAGTCTTTTATTAGCTGCAAGCCCTGCAGTGCAGTTGCACGTTGTATCTTTGTATATTCTTTTTCTCAGCACAAAAATTTTACAGCATATAGCATATACATACATAGATACAGCATATACGTCGCAGAAAAACTAAATCTCAACTCGTCTGAAAAAGTATCCATCTATAGCACATACAAGACGTGTGCGTTACTTTGAAGTTCAGCTTCAAGTACAGGCACGTTCTCACAGCAAATCGGCATGTGATCACAGCAGGTCGGTCGCAAGATTACAGCAGGTCGACTGCAAACACTCCGTTCATGAATCACACCTCGTTCGCGTTCAGTAAGGATACGGCTTACAAAGGGTACGGAAAGCCTGGCAGAAATGGAACGAAGAACTAGCGGCAACGAGGGAGCCCGCTTTCTCGGAGAACATTCAGGGGCTTTCTTGTCTTTCTTTCATTAATTATTTCATGCATCATAGCTAAGACTATGATGCTACATGCTATCAACGCACCATTGCTACATCTTAATGGGTTGTCCTGTACCGTATTTTTCGTCAGAAATATCACAGTGCCCTCTTTTTAGTAAAAATTACGAGAGATTCATTTCGACCTTTCGACGAAGGTTGCGAGCCTGTGTTTTGCCCATGTGGTGTCTTGAAGCGACGAGGTTGTAGCCGATGATCTAAATAGAGGACCTACGGCCTCCACTTGGGTCTTTTGAAGCGCCAGGATGTCGATGTTGTTGATGTTCAAAAGCCTCTGTGGACTTCGTTCTTGGGTCACCTAACAGGGAGCTACAATTCGACGTATTACGCGTAACTCCCCGGATATACCGACCACCAAACCGGGACCGGATCATTTAATTTTTTAAAGAGTTTTGGATATTCTCTATACGGGAGTTTAAAACCGTATTGTTCTTTATTGGTCATGAGGTTTGGTGAAGACGAAAAATCATACAAAATGGCCACCATTGGCATGGACTACAAGTTCAAGACGGCTTTTGAAGGCCTAGGCCGCGGCACGCACGTAAGAAATGGGCATTTTGGCCCACTCCTTTGTCAGGGCTGACTTGAGGAAGTCCAAATTCGTTTGGTTGACAGCACAGGCCTTGGTCTCCAAGTAGTTCCACACGTTGAAGTCCATGGGACTCAGATCCGGAGATGAGGAGGGCCACTCCTCCTTGCTCAAAAAGGCCGAAACGTGCTTTTTCAGCCATTCCTGTGTGACCATTCCGGTGTGCGGGGGTCCCCTCCTTCACGAAGGTCCAGGCCTTTTTGCTGAACTTCTTCTTGGCTCAGGGGACCACCACGTCCTTCAGAACGGATTTGACGTAAAACTCCATCTTCACCTTGACTCCTAGGGGCACGAAGACAAGGGGGGTCTTGCCAGTGGCCGTGATCCCAGCCCAAACCATGACAGAGGCCGAATGTTGGCACCGGAAGGCTGTCTTCAGCTTCGTCGGGAACCTTGGAGATATCTTTAGCAAGGACCTTGTCGTTGTGGCAGTTGTGGATGCTCTGGATCGTGAAATTCTTCTCGTTCATGAAGACCACTTTCTTGAGCATGCCTTTTTTGAGGTCCCGGATAATTTTTTTTGGCACAGGCCAGCCTCTTGACTTTGATCGGCTCTGACAGGACTTGCCACTTCTGTAGGAAGTGGCAAGTTCTCGCTCATGTTTCCTTCCTTGGCCATCTGGCGCATGCATCTCTGGGGGTTCCGGCGAATCTTGACTTTGACAGCCCTGATGACGGTTGGAGTGCGCTGGGACCTCAAACGNAGCTCTTTAACAATACGATGTACTAGTCGGTGCTTCGCCTCATTACAGAGGGGATAGAGAGTCACGAAGAACCGACGAGGAAAGTTGAGGAAATGGGTTTTAGCATGTTAATGCATCAATGGTAACTTCTTAAATCGACGAATTGTTTTTGTTTTATACGTGCCAGACTGGGAAGGATGGGATAAATGTTAATTATGGAATTCACAGAAGACTTTAGATATCTCATTCACTGAAGAAATGACTGAGTAGTCATTTGATTACTGAACCAACTCAAACGCGCCATGTTCTGACTTATTTCAAACACCAAGAATCAAGATATTCGAAAGCAGTGTGTTATCCTATTTGAGAAGATCTATACAACTAATCCAAAAGTCAGAATGACTTCTCGACTGGGACCGGGCTAGGAAACATCTTCAAAACCCGTAGAAGATAGATTCACTCGACAATAGGAATGAGGATTTCCGTCAACTACGAGTTTTCCAGTTTCGATACGGAAGGAAGGTTGGGAGGACGAATGGTATGGGGACAGTAGCATACTTTTAATACCGAAGGTATAAATATACCTAGAACTACCGTAGCGGTCATTTTGACCCCTATATTAAGAGTCTTATAAAAACATTATTCTGTAAATTTTAATTATTTAAAGTTGTTTATGCTCAACAGAACTAAATTGGAAGAAAAATAGTCTGTTCAAAATTTTTAATTTTAGGAATGTTGAAAAGGATATTTGGCAATGTATTTCTTAGAGTCTAGGTGCTTATGGAATCAATACAGGTATGATACATAAGCACATGTGCAGAGCACTAGCCACACACGGCCTTCTTGCACAGGGCAGAGCCATCATGCATCTTGCTCCCATCATCATGATCATAATAATTTTTATAATAAATTAAGCTTACTTCATATTTGTTTCTGGATTCAGCTTCAGATAAGGCTTTTATTAGCTGCAAGCCCTGCAGTTCAGTTGCACGTTGTTTCTTTGTATATTCTTTTTCTCAACACAAACATTTTACAGCATATACATACATAGATACAGCATATACATACATAGATACAGCATATATGTCGCAGAAAAACTAAATCTCAACTTGTCAGAAAAAGTATCCATCACATACAAGACGTGTGCGTTACTTTGAAGTTCAGCTTCAAGTACAGGCACGTTCTCACAGCAAATCGGCATGTGATCACAGCAGGTCGGTCGCAAGATTACAGCAGGTCGACTGCGAACACTCCGTTCATGAATCACACCTCGTTCGCGTTCAGTAAGGATACGGCTTACAAAGGGTACGGAAAGCCCGGCAGAAATGGAACGATGAACTAGCGGCAACGAGGGAGCCCGCTTTTTCGGAGAACATTCAGGGGCTTTCTTGTCTCTCATTAATTATTTATACGTAGTATCGATTCTGATACTACGATGTACGATAGTTGCGTGGTAACGATGTAGAATTACCCAACAGGACATGGCATAAAAAGCAGTCTTTATAGTGTCACGGGAGAAAAATCATTTTTAATGGAGATTCATTCCGACCTTTCGACGAAGGTTGCGAGCCCGTGTTTTGCCCATGTGGTGTCTTGAAGCGACGAGGTTGTAGCCGATGATCTAAATAGGGGACCTACGGCCTCCACGTGGGTCTTTTGAAGCGCCAGGATGTCGATGTTGTTGATCTTCAAAAGCCTCTGAGGACTTCGTTCTTGGCTCTGGATTGTCCCTCGATGTTAAGCTGCATAATGCGCATTGAGGGGCCTATATGGCTGGTGGTTTGGCCCTGGCCTAGTAAATTAAAAAATTTCTCAAAACCTATAAGAGATATGCCCTCAAATTTTGGATATTGTTCTGTATTGGTCATGAGGTTTGGTGAAGACGAAAAATCATTCAAAATGGCCACCATTGGCATGGACTACAAGTTCAAGACGGCTTTTGAAGGCCTAGGCCGCGGCACGCACGTAAGAAATGGGCATTTTAGCCCACTCCTTTGTCAGGGCTGACTTGAGGAAGTCCAAATTCGTTTGGTTGACAGCACATGCCTTGGTCTCCAAGTAGTTCCACACGTTGAAGTCCATGGGACTCAGATCCGGAGATGAGGAGGGCCACTCCTCCTTGCTCAAAAAGGCCGAAACGTGCTTTTTCAGCCATTCCTGTGTGACCATTGTGGTGTGTGCGGGGATCCCCTCCTTCATGAAGGTCCAGGCCTTTTTGCCGAACTTCTTCTTGGCTCAGGGGACCACCACGTCCTCCAGAATCCTAAACTGCATTTTGAGGTAGAAGTGGAACTGAGGATCCCCGTGCTTCTGTTCCCCCCAGAACGGTCACCGGCACTAGGGTCGGGTTTGGTACTGTTTCCGGCTTACAACCGTGGCCTTCCGACAGTTCAGCTTCGTCGGGAACCTTGGAGATATCTTTAGCAAGGACCTTGTCGTTGTGGCAGTTGTGGATGCTCTGGATCGTGAAATTCTTCTCGTTCATGAAGACCACTTTCTTGAGCATGCCTTTTTTGAGGTCCCGGATAATTTTTTTTGGCACAGGCCAGCCTCTTGACTTTGATCGGCTCTGACAGGACTTGCCACTTCTGTAGGAAGTGGCAAGTTCTCGCTCATGTTTCCTTCCTTGGCCATCTGGCGCATGCATCTCTGGGGGTTCCGGCGAATCTTGACTTTGACAGCCCTGATGACGGTTGGAGTGCGCTGGGACCTCAAACGACCGATCCTGGGACGGCTGGCTACAGTATCAGTCTCCTTGAATCGCTTCACGACTCTCCAGATGAAGACCTTCTTGATGTTGAGGTTCTTGAGGGCCTTTAGAATCTCGCCGTTACTCCTTCCGGCCTTAAGGAAACTTCAGGCAGGCTTTAACTTGTACAGCACTGAAAAAGATTCCTCGAGGAAGAGCTCCTAATGGACATTAGCGTATGTTTTTTTTCTTCGATATTTTAATTACTTATGGCTTAGATGAAAAGAATATTCATGTTGATCAAGAAGCTGTTGTATGTGAGAAAAGGCTCCTTTGGGACGTGGATGCCGTTTCAAACTGCTAAAAATATTTAATTATTTTCAGAATCTCATCCTTTCTTCTATTTCTAAGAACTATCCGATCTCGAAGCATTCAACATCAATGCTCTTACTCCCAGTTCAGCCGTATATCTAAAGCTCGACCTTTCACATGCTGGCTAACAAAAGGCAGGCTTTCAATAGGCCTAGGGGGTGAGCTGACGCTTGTGAAGCAAGTACTTAGTGTAGAGGGAGACCGTTCAGTAAGGATACGGCTTCCGAAGGGGACGGAAGGCCTAGCGGAAATCAAACGAAGAACCTGCGGCAACGAGCGAGTCCGCTTTCTCGGAGAACCCATATTCAGGGGGTTTCTTCTCCTTCTTTGGTTAAGTATTTCTACGTAATATCGATTCCGATACTACGATGTGCGACAGTTGCGCTGTAGCGATATAGAGTACTACGACTAGGACATGGCATAAAAAGCACCCATTATAGTGTCATAGGAGAAAAATCATTTTTAATGCTGAGATTCATTCCAACTCACGCGCACATTTTATGACTCCACTTTGAATGACAGTCGCTCCTTATTCAGACAACTAAAGCATAAAACTTCGAGGAAACAAATTTTGTAGTGGTACCTATGCGATACGAAAAAATCACGAACCTTGATCCTATTCAGTGGATTTCATACAGCGTCAAGCAGGAGAAGGGAAATGTTCCCCAAAATCCAAGAGGACTTCAAGGCCCAATTCATCTCGTCCGGGACTACACGATAATAAAAAAGTCAAGATATCAGACTTTAAAAGGCTAAAGTAAAAGGGAAAGTTAAATAGAAATCTAACGAACCATATGTCGCCGTCTGATAATAGTATAGGGTGAAACAGGCCTTGAGAAAAGTGTCGAGGAATAGAGTTGTCAAAGACCAATGCGTGAAGTAGGTGTAATTGTAACGCGCATCCGGAAAGGTGAAAGTGTAGATCATCCAAGCAAAGAACAATAGAGCATGAATGCATCTCAGCGACACGGTTATCAGATGAGGTCGAGTCCCACCATCCCACTGAAAATGTTCATGCATTTTCTATACTAACTGACATTTTTTGGCATCTGAGTAAAGATTCAGTCTGTCGATTATGTAATATACATCCAAAAGTAGATGAGAGCATTGTCTGACTAACCTGGGCTCGGATAAATTCCGACGGTTCATGGTGCCGTAGAAGGAAGTCAGTTTTCCGAATGGCAAACTTCGATGCTCCCATTTTGGTAGGAATGAGCAGCGTAGTCTCTGCTGCCTCTTTATTTTCCCTCCACTCACATCATGCGATACACGGAATCACAAGGAAAAGACGACCATGAGTGGGGACCACTAGGCCATGTACGTCCTTTATCCCGATATAATTCTTTTTTTTCATCTTTATCAGCCTGTACGATAAGAGTAGACTCTCGATAAAGGATTTTTTGCCATTTGAGCAATATAATTTCGTCTTTTCTGTCATAAAACTATGGGAATAATTTAACAGATAAGTAAGATTGTTGGTATTTCTGGGAACACTCCCGAAAACCGAAATTTTGAACGAAAAACATTCTCTCCTATTGAAAATCCACATCCAGTTACAGTCCTCCTCACCCCTAAAAAATATCAGTGAGTCAAGTGAACATGAGGACGGATACAATTCCATTCGCGATTGATTGGTTGCAAGTGCTTGGGTTCATCAAAGATGAAGTAAGGGTATTTCGGCGCACCAGCCCATTACTTAGTCGCAGGAAAGGGAGTTTTTTGTCATAGGAATTCCCCGTCTGGTTTAGTCGATTGGGTCCCCTACCTTGGCCCACCCGTAGCCCCGATTTGACGACGTACGACAATTGGCTTTCGTCGTTTGTAAAGGAGCAAGAGAGCAAGGTGCGATCCATAATGTGGAAGAATTAAGTGCAGCCAAATGGAACGTGTTTAAAAAGATTACTCCTGAAATGTCGAGGAGAGCATCCAAGCGAACGTGGCACCGCATAGAACTCTGTGTTGCGCATACTGGAGCTCAAACTGAAGTATCAATTATCAATACTATGGAAAGAACATTTGTCGAGATGATTGTATTTTGTACATTGAATAATCAATAAATATTTTAAAACTCATTGTAAAATGTTTACTTTGATTTTATTATTTTCGCTCTAATTATAATCGATTGGGACTTATGGGCCACCCTGTTGACTGTGTTAAAAGGACGAAATCATTGGCAAAAGTACATTTTTACTTTGATACTATCATCGCTGACCCATCCTAGTTCGAAGGTACGCTTTAAGATTCTGTCCATGTTCAACAAGGAACAGGAGAAAAGTAAAAACTTAACTTCGGCGGAGCCCAAAGAAACAGCACCATTCAGATCTTATCAGCCTGTACGATAAGAGTAGACTCTCGATAAAGGATTTTTTTGCCATTTGAGCAATATAATTCCGTCTTTTCTGTCATAAAACTATGGGAATAATT